CACCACCACCACCACCACCACCACCACCACCACCACCACCACCACCACCACCACCACCACCACCACCACCACCACCACCACCACCACCACCACCACCACCACCACCACCACCACCACCACCACCACCAGTTGTTTGGTGGTTTTTGGCGTCATTTTTCTGCTAGCGCAGAAGGTGTGCGTGGCTGAGTTTCGCGGTACCTATAATATCTGGGGCAATTTGGACCTTAAATTAATGTTCTGAAAATTAATTGAATAACGACTTTTCAAAAGTAGAACATTTTCGTTTTTTTTATATATATATTTTTCATCTTTATTTTGTGACGTCACAAATTTTGTACACCCCACCTGCTCCCTGTCACAAGTGTCACAAATTCTCGACACCTCTTCCCCCCCACCCCTGAGCATGACGCAATTTGCGCACAATCTATGACGTCATTTGAATGTTCATTTAAGTAAAAGAAAATGTTAATTTTATATTACAATATTCACACCGAACTATAAACAGGTCAATGCTAAACACGGATGAGCACAAATTGTTTTTATACTTTCAGGATAAAAAATGTGACCAAGTGTGCATCATTATCTTGAGCATGTACTCAACGCAGAAACAATCAACAGTAGTCGTAAATAAAACTACGAATTTAAGACATTGGAAGAGATCATTGGTCAATTAGAAAACAAAAAAAAAGATATCATTGGCAATGTCGTTGTAGAGGCTGATAGAAGATGACACAGGAAATGTGGTTGTGGAGGCTGATAGAAGATAGCACAGGAAATGTGGTTATGGAGACTGATAGAAAATGACACAGGAAATGTGGTTGTGGAGGCTGATAGAAGATGACACAGGAAATGTGGTTGTGGAGGCTGATAGAAGATGACACAGGAAATGTGGTTGTGGAGGCTCATAGAAGATGACACAGGAAATGTGATTGTGGAGACTGATAGAAGATAACACAGGAAATGTTGTTGTAGAGACTGATAGAAGATGACACTGGTAATGTGGTTGTAGAGGCTGGTGGAAGATAACAAAGGTAATGTGGTTGTAGAGGCTGATAGAAGATAACACAGGTGATGTAGTTGTAGAGACTGATAGAAGATAACACAGGAAATGTGGTTGTAGAGGACTGGTAGCTTATAACACAGGTAATGTGGTTGTAGAGGCTGACAGAAGATAACACTGGTAATGTGGTTGTAGAGGCTGCCAGAAGATAACACTGGTAATGTGGCTGTAGAGGCTGACAGAAGATACTATTGGTAATGTGGCTGTAGAGGCTGATGGAAGATAACACAGTTAATAGGGTTGCATAGAGTGCAAGAAGATAACAAAAATATAATTGGTTTGGTACTACTCAAGAGGATAACACAGGTTATTGGTTTGTGTAGGCTGAAACACAGGTCATGGGATTTCTAGAGACTGGCTGAGGATAACACGAGTAGATGGGTGTAGTGACTGACAACCCGATCCAGTTCAAAGTGCGTCACATTTCCCCCGAAGTCCTGTGCACGCCATGGCCGACCCACTGGTGATGACCTACTGGTGATGACCTACTGGTGATGACCTACTGGTGATGACCTACTGGTGATGACCTACTGGTGATGACCTACTGGTGATGACCTAATGAACGCAGCCAATCACTTAGAGAAGCCGTGGTGCGTTGTGTAATCCCCGTCTACATAATTGATCCGTGGATGTGATCCATGTTTTAAGGCTGGCCACGTCACGCATGATCAGTACAAACTAATGGGCATTCTTAATTATCGATTGCTTTGTTCTATCAGTACAAACTAATGGGCATTCTTAATTATCGATTTCTTTGTTCCATCAGTTTGAGCTAACGTTTCTTTGTTTATTCCTTTTTATGACGTCATTTGTTCTGACAATCAACTCAAAAAATGACAGGTGTTCTCACATTTTGATGCGTTGTTCTAACATTCAACTAAACATAAAAGGTGTTCTCACGTTTCGGATCCATTCTCAGCTTTTAACTGACATTTACGATCTCTGTGTGTGATTCAGCTGCATGTTTCAGTGGCGTGGTCTGTGTGAACGGCGCGGGGGGGGGGGTGTGGAAGGAATACTTCTGGGGGAAAAGTCAGACTTTTCATTTCATTAGAATCAACTCCCTGTGTCATCTTGGTCAGTTGAACAAAGTGTTGTAACTGAATTCAATTGTAACAGTTTCGTTTCGTTTATTACAAGTTAGTGTCAAGGTCACACATTGCAGGGTAGGTTAGCAATCCATTGATGATGCATAGAATGTCTATTAAGTACAAAGACCACCCCGTACTTTACAAACTCTGACGTGAACAAGCAGGTCTAGGAGAGATAAAGAAGAAGAGAGAGACAGGAAGATACAGAGAGAAGAGAAAGAAAGAGAGAGAATAGGTAGAGAGGTCGAGAGAGACAAGAAGAGAGAGTTTAAGAGAGTTCTAGAGAGAGGAACAGAGAAAAAAGAGACCAGATAGGATGTGAGAGAGGGAGAGAGTGAGCGAGAGAGACAAGAAAAGAGATTTTAAGAGAGAGAGAGGAACAGAGAGAAAAAGACCAGATAGGATGAGAGAGAGAGAGAGAGAGAGAGAGAGAGAAAAGAAGAAGACAGAAGTTTCGAAAAAAATGTAAAAACGATAGAGAACAGAGGAAATAACCAATGAATCGATCAATGTTTACATTAATACAAAGTGTTATTGGTTTGGGTCAAACGTTGCCATGGAGACGGGACGTTTCAACAAGAAACCAGCCGGCAACTGAGTATTGACGAGCATTCTACGAGCAAATATAACCACATTGCTGCACATGACAGGCCATATTTCTTTCCCATCAGATCAGTTGTCACATGCCATGACTGTGACGAGCAATCTTGCGCCATGTCTCGGTAGGTGTGTGTTCAAATCATGAGTCAAAACGTGTGCGACTTTATTTACACTCGGGCCTTAAAGACGACAAGACACGATAAGGAGCTGTCATTTTTTTACGGAAACTGCTTGAGATCCATTGAAAGAATGACGTCCAGCAGTTGCTTCTTGTTGACCCTGATGTCCTTGATGACCACAAGCAGATTCCAACCTGTCAACTCAGCTATATCTCCTGTGGTAGGTAAGTCAATGTTACAAGGGACATGACTCTTGTGGTAGGCAAGTCAATGATACAAGGAACATGTCTCTTATGGTAGGTAAGTCAATGATACAAGGGACATGTCTCTTGTGGTATGTAAGTCAATGATACAAGGGACAAATCTCTTGTGGTAGATAAGTTAACAATAAAAGGGACATGACTCCTGTTGATAGGTAAGTCAATGATACAAGGGCCATGTCTCTTTTGGTTGATAAAGGAATGATACACGGCTAGGTTATAAACTAGTTCTATCCGACACACACACACACACACACACACACACACACACACACACACACACACACGCACACACATACACACAGACAATAGAACACTACTTACATTCGACACCCAAACTCACGCTAGATAGAAAACTACTTGAATATGACACACATCCACACAAAATAGAACATCTCTGTTTAGGAATTCTATAATCCACATATCCATGCCCCCTACCCCATCTCACAAACCAGTGGTCGTCATCAGTGACGTAATTATGTTCAACAACCCGGATATAGACGCCATTTTCGAGAACGTCCCCCGAATCGCCAACACCGGAAGCCAGGTCAAAGTGCAAGTCACACCCATCATCTCCGATAACATCACTGAGATAGTTGACCAAGGTGAGTTCACTTCATGGATGTTACTCAATGAATTGACCATGCATTTTTTAAGGGCTTATACAATGTTTCAATCCTAAGAAGGCTGAGACCTGTCATGATTGAGACCTGTCATGATTGAGACCTGTCATGATTGAGACCTGTCATGATTGAGACCCGCATCAAGGTCATCAGGGAGAGGTGTGTGTTTTGATTTTGGTGACAAATGGGGCGTGTGAGCGGATGTCAACGATTGTCATGGCCCGAGTGCACATAGGATTTTGGGATGTCAAAAAAAAAAGAAAGGGGGGGGGCAACTTTTTTGAGTGGGTTTGTATTTATATTCACGGACGGGAGAAGGAACTAAAGATCAGAGTGAGAGATAGCTTGGAATGGAGAGGGCAGGTTTGATTGTACTCAAATGGATTGACCGATTTTGGTATCTGATACTTTATTTCAATGTGGATAATCTACTTCTCCGCATCGCAATTATACGTGTATACATTATGCTAAGGTCAAGGAATCCTGTGATTCTATAAGCCTGTGTCATAAAGCACTGTGTCGTGTACATTGGACAGTGTGCTGTTTATCAGAGAGGGAGACAGTCGCGGAGAAGTGGGAATAATAGACCAAGCGAATAATTGACACGCATCAGAAGATCCTAGACAACGAGGATATTTTGGCATGGGCCAGAATATTTGACACCCTGTCATGATTGAAAGCTGTCATGTTTGACACCTGTCATTATTAGCAGCAGTCAGGATATTTAAACAAAGGTCAAATAACGTGTCCACTCTTCGTGGTCTCATAATGGACTGACATATTTACACAGTGATCCGAACTCTAAGTTAAACCCGGTTTGTAATTGTGCGACTTGAATAATAATAATACATATAGATTATCATGTTCATAGGTAATGAATGTTAGTTATTGTCATATTAAATGAGTGACTTGTGATATTAAATAAGTGAATTGTCATATTAAATGAGTGAATTGTCATATTAAATTAGTGAATTGTCATATTAAATGAGTGATTTGTGATATTAAATGAGTGAATTGTCATATTAAATGAGTGAATTGTGATATTAAATGAGTGAATTGTCATATTAAATGAGTGAATTGTCATATTAAATGAGTGATTTGTGATATTAAATGAGTGAATTGTCATATTAAATGAGTGAATTGTCATATTAAATGAGTGAATTGTCATATTAAATGAGTGATTTGTGATATTAAATGAGTGAATTGTCATATTAAATGAGTGAATTGTCATATTAAATGAGTGATTTGTGATATTAAATGAGTGAATTGTCATATTAAATGAGTGAATTGTCATATTAAATGAGTGAATTGTCATATTAAATGAGTGAATTGTTATATTAAATGAGAGAATTGAATGGAGCATCTGTTAATGTCAAGGTTTACTATTATTTTCAGTGTGCACATTGTTTTCGGCTGGAGTTATCGCTCTTGTTGACATGTCCAGCCCAGGCTCAGCTCTCATTTTGAGGTCGTACTGTTCTGAGTTCGGTGTAGCCTACATATCTTTGGTGGACAGAGCATATTACTATAACCTACATGAAAGGTAATGAATAAGATCTAAAAGATCTCAATGTTATAAAACATGTCTAACGACCGTTTTATTGTATAACTTGTCTATAATCTTCGTATAGTATATGTCTTAAGATCTTCATATGTATAATATATCTTAAGATCTTCATATGTATAATATATCTTAAGATCTTCATACGTCTCTGAGTTCCCATTAACTGGCCGCCCTCTTCATTCTCTGACTTCCCATGTCTGTCGTCTTGTTATTTTATCTCGAAGTTCTTAGTGCCGCATGAAATTGCTACTTATTAGTGACGGTACGCTGCGAAGGGTGGTCAGTGTATTGATATTGTATCTGCACTAACCAACTGGGAATTCTTGATCATAGGCAGACATGCCTGGCGATAAGCATTAGATAGGCAGACATACAAGTGATAAGCACTAGATAAGCAGGCATGCCTGGAAAAAGCACTTATTAAGCATACATGCCTGGAGATAGCACTAGTTAAGCAGATATTCCAATTAATTGACACTAAATTATATGCACGCATGCATGTCAGTTGGCAATAGATCGAAAATGTCCAAATTGAATAAACTTGCATTACTTTGTTCTGGACATGGACCATCTTGTTCTGGACACGGAACATCTTGTTCTGGACATAGACCATCTTGTTCTGGACATGGAACATCTTGTTCTGGACATAGACCATCTTGTTCTGGACATGGAACATCTTGTTCTGGACATGGAACATCTTTTTCTGGACATAGACCATCTTGTTCTGGACATGGAACATCTTGTTCTGGACATAGACCATCTTATTCTGGACATGGACCATCTTGTTCTGGACATAGACCATCTTGTTCTGGGCATAGAATATCTTGTTCTGGGCATAGACCATCTTGTTCTGGACATAGACCATCTTGTTATGGACATGGACCATCTTGTTCTGGACATAGACCATCTTGTTCTGTACAAAGAAAATCTAGTTCTGGAGAATTGATCATCTTTTTTTAAGACTAGACCATCTTGTTCTGTACATACACCATCTTGTTATGCACATGGACCATCTTATTCTGGACGCGGATCATCTTGTTCTGGTCATAGATCATCTTGTTCTTTATATTGACCATCTAGTTCTTGACATGGACCATCTTGTTCTGGACATAGACCATCTTGTTCTGGACATAGACCATCTTGTTCTGGAGAATAGACCATCTTGTTCTGGACATAGACCATCTTGTTCTGGAGAATAGACCATCTTGTTCTGGACATAGACCATCTTGTTCTTGAGAATAGACCATCTTGTTCTGGACATAGACCATCTTGTTCTGGAGAATAGACCATCTTGTTCTGGACATAGACCATCTTGTTCTGGAGAATAGACCATCTTGTTCTGGACATAGACGATCTTGTTCTGGAGAATAGACCATCTTGTTCTGGACATAGACAATCTTGTTCTGGAGATGGACCATCTTGTTCTGGAGAATAGACCATCTTGTTATGGACATGGACCATCTGTTTCTGGACATAGACCATCTTGTTCTCGAGAATAGATCATCTTGTTCTGGACATGGACCATCTTATTCTGGACATAGACCATCTTGTTCTTGAGAATAGACCATCTTGTTCTGGACATAGACCATCTTGTTCTGGACATGGACCATCTTGTTCTGGAGAATAGACCATCTTGTTATGGACATGGACCATCTGGTTCTGGAGATAGACCATCTTGTTCTCGAGAATAGATCATCTTGTTCTGGACATGGACAATCTTGTTCTGGACATAGACCATCTTGTTCTGGAGAATAGACCATCTTGTTATGGACATGGACCATCTGGTTCTGGACATAGACCATCTTGTTCTCGAGAATAGACCATCTTGATCTGGACATGGACCATCTTATTTTATACATAGACCATCTTGTATTGGAAATTGACCATCTTGTTCTTGACATGAACCATTTTTTCTGGTCATAGACCATCTTGTTCTGGACATAGACCATGTTATTTTTGAGAATAGACTAATTTGTTCTGGACATGGAACATCTTGTTCTATTTTCTTTCTTTTTTCAGATACTAGTTTTTGTTAGCATTCACTGATCTTTCTCCATCTACTTTTCTCCATTTCATCGCTATATCTTTCATTCCAATAACAATATTCTCTCTATATTATCACGCATTATATCAACATTGTTTGTAAATTATATTTGTATAAGTTTAAAGTTAAGCTACTTGAGACCCCAATGGCTTCAAGGCATATACACTGCAGTTTACATGACACCATTGTTTATTCCCTTCTTCATAAGTTGTTTCTCTCCTTTTTTTTAATAAGAAATTATTCAAATCTATCCGTCATAAGATGTCTCTCAACAGGTTTGTCCAAAGATGTTTCTCGACTTGTTAGTCATTAGATGTTTCTCGACTTGTTAGTCATAAGTTGTTTCTCTGTTTTTTTTAAATAAGAAATTATTCAAATCTATCCATCATATGATGTCTCTCAACAGGTTTGTCCAAAGATGTTTCTCGACTTGTTAGTCATAAGATGTTTCTCGACTTGTTAGTCATAAGATGTTTCTCGACTTGTTAGTCATAAGATGTTTCTCGACTTGTTAGTCATAAGATGTTTCTCGACTTGTTAGTCATAAGATGTTTCTCGACTTGTTAGTCATAAGATGTTTCTCGACTTGTTAGTCATAAGATGTTTCTCGACTTGTTAGTCATACGATGTTTCTCGACTTGTTAGTCATAAGATGTTTCTCGACTTGTTAGTCATAAGATGTTTCTCGAATTGTTAGTCATACGATGTTTCTCGACTTGTTAGTCATAAGATGTTTCTCGACTTGTTAGTCATAAGATGTTTCTCGACTTGTTAGTCATAAGATGTTTCTCGACTTTGTTAGTCATAAGATGTTTCTCGACTTGTTAGTCATAAGATGTTTCTCGACTTGTTAGTCAAAAGATGTTTCTCGACTTGTTAGTCATAAGATGTTTCTCGACTTTGTTAGTCATAAGATGTTTCTCGACTTGTTAGTCATAAGATGTTTCTCGACTTGTTAGTCATACGATGTTTCTCGACTTTGTTAGTCATAAGATGTTTCTCGACTTGTTAGTCTTACGATGTTTCTCGACTTGTTAGTCATAAGATGTTTCTCGACTTGTTAGCCATAAGATGTTTCTCGACTTGTGAGTCATAAGATGTTTCTCGACTTGTTAGTCAAAAGATGTTTCTCGACTTGTTAGTCATAAGATGTTTCTCGACTTGTTAGTCATAAGATGTTTCTCGACTTGTTAGTCATAAGATGTTTCTCGACTTTGTTAGTCATAAGATGTTTCTCGACTTGTTAGTCATAAGATGTTTCTCGACTTGTTAGTCATAAGATGTTTCTCGACTTGTTAGTCATAAGATGTTTCTCGACTTGTTAGTCATAAGATGTTTCTCGACTTGTTAGTCATAAGATGTTTCTCGACTTGTTACATAAGATGTTTCTCGACTTGTTAGTCAAAAGATGTTTCTCGACTTGTTAGTCATAAGATGTTTCTCGACTTGTTAGTCATAAGATATTTCACGATTCATTTCTTATAAGATGTAAATCCTAATTCTGTAAAGCCTGATTGTCTCCCCTAATCTTATTTCAGAAATGTCGCCGCAGTGAGACTAGAGCCTACGGCCACACAGATGTTGGGCGTCTTGGCAGATATTGCCACTCAGGAAAAACTCAATAACATCGCGATAGTTTACGATGATACTTTTGGTAAACAGGTCTTAGTATCGTATCTTAGTTTAAAGGAAAAGTCTTGGCGTTTCTTAATGGACAACGAGTTTATTTGTGACCGTTAGCTCATCAGAAGAACCTGTTCAATTTTCCTATCAAGTACAGTCTTCATCTGAAGCTGAAGACGCCGATATATTAGAGCAAATTTGCAGACTGGTCTGTAGGATGTCGGATGCCTTTAGGATGTCTGTAGAATGTCTGTAGGATGTCTGTAAAGGACTTTCCTCGTACTTGAATATATCAATCTAGGTCCCAGAGAAGCAGACTCTATAAACGGCGTGGTGCATTGTGTGTGTTGTGTGGTGTGCGGTGTTTGGTGTGTGGCATTTGGTGTTTGATGTGTGGTTTTGTGGTGTGTGGTGTTTTGGTGTGTGGTGTGTGGCATTTGGTGTTTGGTAATTGGTGTGTGGGGTGTGGCATTTAGTGTTTGATCTGTGTTTTGTGGTGTGCGGTGTTTGGTGTGTGGTGTTGTGTGTGTGGTGTGCGGCATTTTGTGTTTAATGTGTGGTTTGCAGTGTGTGGAGGTGAAACGTACTGTAACGGTACCTTTTATCGTTGGAAGTCTGGGCACTTACAAGCAACTGTAGTTGATAACATGCATGTCTCGAGGTCTATCTACGCGTCATTAGCCTAAGTAATATATCAAGAAACTGTTCGGATACTGTTACGTACCGTAATGTGGCTCTAACAACTTAATCTGCTTTAAGATTTGGCTCGTTAAATAACGATACGTAACAAAGGAATGAAAAGCAGTCTACAAAGAAAATAGATATTTAAAGCTAATTCTATAAAAACTAATCAATTTAAGTTTACTATCAACTTAATTTTTTTTAAAATTACAAAATCAAATAAATATAAATAAGCACTATATTAACATATAGCCCAGCTGGTGGGAAAAGTGTAACAATAGACAGGTACAAATGTTAATCAACACACACAGTGAAAAAATCATGTGAGTCTTGTTAGGCTTCTGCTGGTCACAATCGTCCATCATGTTTATAGTGAGGGAGTCAGAACCCTCCGGTAGAAGAAATTCTAGAAATACAATTGCCTGAGTGCATGTATCACCCCCATGTATTCCTCTCTGGAAACGTAAACAAAATAGCCCAATCAAGGGCGGTGGGGGAGGAGTGGTAGCACGTGTCACAAAGTTAATTGGTGACGTTGGTAACACATACAAAAATTGAGAGATAAGGGTTGCATGTCACGCAGGGTGAACAAAAACTAGGTCAACACACATGCTGTAAAAATACGTATTAATTGACATTTCAAACATGTCTGAGCCCATTTAGTCATATGTTTTATATTCATCCTTAATTTTCAATCACCATATCCAACCACCATACTCATTCACTTTATCCATCCATCATATCCATCCAACATATTTATTAACGTATCGAAATAGTGCATCCAATTCAACATATATCCATCATATACTATAACCATATCCATCATAAGATTTAACAACTTGTTCAAGAAAAATACCGATCCAAAAATCTATCCATACCTATCCTACTGTCATATCAATCCACCACTGATAAAAGTGTGGACCTTTTTTGTTTCTAATCCATAATGTACCAATCCGTATGATATTCATTCTCAAACAACTGTATTTTGTTATACTTTGCAGATCTGCAGAACACGCCGAGACGAGTGCTGACCAACATCCCTGCTCAGCACGTCTACCTGCCAATGTCCACTAACTTGACCGAGCTACAGCACATCCTCAAAGTCATGCTTAGAATAAACAGCAAAGTTCTTTTCATCATTGCTAAAAAAATTAACGCAGAAACTTTTCTGAACGTGGTATGCTACTTCTATTAGTATTGTCTCGTCTGTAAGAGCAGTGTCCACACATCCACATTTCTCCTTGTTAGAGTGGTGTCAACACATCCACATTTCTCTCTGCTGGGGTGTTGTCCACACATCCACATTTCTCTCTTTTAAAGTTTTTTCTACACATCCACATTTCTCCCTGTTAGTGTTGTCCACACATCCACATTCTCCCCGTTAGAGTGTAGTCCACACATCCACATTTCTCCCTGTTAGAGTGTTGTCCACACATTCATATTTCTCCCTGCTAGTGTTGTCCACACATCCACATTTCTCTCTTTTAGAGTGTTGTCCACACATCCATATTTCTCCCTGCTAGTGTTGTCCACACATTCATATTTCTCCCTGCTAGTGTTGTCCACACATCCACATTTCTCTATTTTAGAGTGTTGTCCACACATTCATATTTCTCACTGCTAGTGTTGTCCACACATTCATATTTCTCCCAGCTAGCGTTGTCCACACATCCACATTTCTCTCTGTTAGAGTGTTGTCCACACATCCACATTTCTATCTGTTAGAGTGTTGTCCATACATCCACATTTCTATCTGTTAGAGTGTTGTCCACACATCCACATTTCTCTATTTTAGAGTGTTGTCCACACATCCACATTTCTATCTGTTAGAGTGTTGTCCACACATCCATATTTCTCTCTGTTAGAGTGTTGTCCACACATCCACATTTCTATCTGTTAGAGTGTTGTCCACACATCCACATTTCTCTCCGTTAGTGTGTTGTCCACACATCCACATTTCTATCTGTTAGAGTGTTGTCCACACATCCACATTTCTCTATTTTAGAGTGTTGTCCACACATCCACATTTCTCTCTGTTAGAGTGTTGTCCACACATCCACATTTCTATCTGTTAGAGTGTTGTCCACACATCCACATTTCTCTCTGTTAGAGTGTTGTCCACACATCCACATTTCTCTCCGTTAGTGTGTTGTCCACACATCCACATTTGAATCAAAATTTTAACGTAAAAGCTGAAAAATAGATTCGACCAAATTTCCATTCAATCAAATTACCGTCGATCAATTTACCGTCAACGAAATTTCTTTCGACCAATTTCCGGATACGATTCTATTTGTATTGATCATTGTTAATGTGATAATGTTGTCAGACTTTGTGTCTGCATGCTGTATGTATAGACATATGTTAATGTGATAAGGTTGTATTGCTTCGTGTTTGCGGTCTGTATGTATGTACCTATGTTAAAGTGAGATAATGTTGTCAAACTATATGTGTCCACAGTCTGTATTTCCTCTGATCCCAAAATTTCTGACATGCGATAAAAGTTGTTTTACAAAAATAATGATGCATCTTTGTTTTCTCATCCATTTCTTTTCATTTCAGCTGACCCAAGACAACAATTCGAACTTTGAACCTAATGTCTTTGTTTTGACAAAGGTTTGTTTCATGGCTTGTCTTGTCTTTTGTAAAAATTAAATTTTACTTACTTTCTGTATTGCGACTATTCTTGTCTCCTGGTTTGAACAGTTATGTATTCATTAATCAATTTAAATATATATATATATTAAATCTTTTTTTCACCCTTATTATTTTCAATTACTTTTTTAATGAGGCTACAGAGAAATAAATAAAAAACATTAAGTTCAAAGCTGTACTCTCAGGAAATGATTAAAATATTATACTTAAACTTCCTTACTTACGGCTCTGCACAACTGGGTTGTGCTCTAACAGTAAGATGGTCTATTAGAAGAACATCTGCCATTTAGCTGTTGCTAATAGCATGTTGGAACGGATAACATAACAGACACAAAAATTATTCAGATTTGTCTTAAATTTAAGTTTAAAGTTTAACATCATATGTTGATCATGTGTTGATTAGATGTTGATAATATGTTGATTAAATATTGATCATATGTTGATTAAATATTGATCATATGTTGATCATGTTTTAATCATGTGTTCATCATGTGTTCATCATCTGTTTATCATGTGTTCATCATGTGTTCATCATGTGTTGATTATATGTTGATCATATGTTGATCTATAGTGACGATATATTCCACGTGCGTTGATTATATATTGACCACATTTCCTGCAGGACAGCAAAGTAAACTGCGCCTCCTGTCTGGGCACACAACGCGTGCTGGTGATCACAGCCAAGCAAACGATCGAAGTGAACAAACTATTGATTGATTTTATGCGCAAGTTTGGAATCGACAGGGACTTTGATCAGGACAGAATAAAGGTGACCACTGGATTGACCACTGGGTGACCACTTGGGTGACCACTTGGGTGACCACTTGGGTGACGACTCGGATGACGACTGGGGTGACCAGTGGGGTGACCACTGGGGTGACGACTGGGGTGACCACGGGGTAACCAGTGGGGTGACGACTGGGCGGTTTCTTGCATGTCATGCAACAGGACCCAAACCAATTCTTAAAATCGGATCTAAGGGGGTCTACGTTTCTATCAATCGTGTCAACTGTGTCGCCAGTGTCATGGACTTAGTGGACATTAATCGATCCGAATTGAACTGTCGTTTGTCCTAAAATCTAAACGTCCCATGCAGCAATAATTTCAAGCTGATATTTTTTTTTATTCCACGGTATTCAATGCACACAACGATTTACTAGTTTTAGTGGCGCAGCTTGTACGATTGACTCGGGGCGTTACAAGAACTAAGCCGGCACCCGACAAATAAAAAAAACCAACTTTACATTTGGGTGAATGCAACCCATGCATAAAAATTGAAATGTCGCCTCGGATGGACCCCCCTTCCGCCCCTTCCTACGTCACTTATATACGACATGTCATTTAATAAACGTAATGTATACTCCCGAACATATCACAATCTTTTCTTTGGTCCCGAGCTGACGCTCTTGTACAGCCCCCCCCCCCCCCGCAAGCACCATTATATACGACATTTCATTTAATAAACGTAATGGATACTCCCGAACATATCACCATCTTTTCTTTGGTCCCGAGCTGACGCTCTTGTACAGCCCCCCCCCCCCAGCAAGCACCATACAGTTGTGTCGCCTATGCTGGGCATCAGCCATAGATCCCACTTTCAATGTAGACTTCCAGGTGCTCCCTACCACTTCCGGGATGCACCCAACCACTTCCGGGATGCACCCAACCACTTCCGGGATGCACCCAACCACTTCCGGGGTGCTCCAACCCCTCCATTCATTATGTCTCGGGCACTGGGCTGATGAGTGCACTATTGTCTCTGGCCCCTGGCCGCAATGCTGGCAGTTCGGGTCCCGAAGAGAACCGCAGTAAACTATGGCAATCCACCAGGACATGAATAAGATAAGGAGGGGAAGTAGAAAAAAAGCAATCTTGAAGAGCTTCCTGATAATAAAGTTTAATTTCAAATCTTTAAAAAATGTCACATTATTTTAAAAAAAGGGGGGAGGGGGGTGGTGGTGGGGTTGCTATTAAATATAAATTTGAAAATAAATTGTTTTTGAACGTCTTTTTAATAAATAAAAACTCTTGTCTAATATTTCCATGTAGTGATAAATAGATATAGATCTCTATATAGCTCTATGATTGATATACATAAATATATATATATATATATATATATATATATATATATATATATAGAGAGAGAGAGAGAGCGAAAGAAATAATATAGATAGATACAGAGATAGAGAGACATAGACAGAAATAGATAGAGATAGAGAGAGAGAGAGAGAGATATACAGGAGGGATAGAGATAGAGAGAATTATAATATATATATGTAGTGATAAATATATATAGATCTATATATATCTATATGATTGATATATATATATATATATATATATATATATATATATATATATATATATATATAGAGAGAGAGAGAGAGCGAAAGAAATAATATAGATAGATACAGAGCTAGAAAGACATAGACAGAAATAGATAGAGATAGACAGAGATAGACAGAGATATACAGGAAGGATAGAGATAGGCAGAGATGTTAGAGATAGCCAGAGATAGATGGAAATAGATAAAGTTAGATAGAGATAGATAGAAATATATGAAGATAGCTAGATAGAGATAAATAGAGAGAGATAAAAATAGATATAGATAGATAGAAATAAATAAAGATGGCTAGATAAAGATAAATAGAGATAGATAGAAATAGATAGAGATGCATAGAAATATATAAAGATAGCTAGATAAAGATAAATAGAGATAGAAATAGATAGATAGGGATAGATATTGTGTTTTACCAGCTTTTAAAAAACAAACGAAAAAAGGGCGTGGACATTTGATCATTCTCAAATAAATGGAAAGGGTTGGGGGGGGGGCATTATTTTCTCAGCCACCGCAGATAGGCAACTGTGTGTTTGTCATGGGAATCTTGAACTTGTTGTTGCCTGACAGGTAGAAGAGAAGATAGGCAACTGTGTGTTTGTCATGGGACTCTTGAACTTGTTGTTGTTGCCTGACAGGTAGACGAGAAGATAGGCAACTGTGTGTTTGTCATGGGACTCTTGAACTTGTTGTTGCCTGACAGGTAGACGAAGCGTTTGCCTTTGATGTGGCCAGGTTGATCGTGAGTGCAGTGGTCAGTGTGTCGAAGACAGTAAATGTGACCAGTATCTCGAGCCAGGACTGTAGCACCATAAACAACGCAAGTAATGACCAGCTGGTCCAGAGTCAGCAGTTGATGGAGACCATCCTGCAGGTGGGCCATGCGACCATGTGTTGTAAGAGGCATCATAGGGCATGACTCGCTCGTCTTAAGTCTAAAGTCAATTGGACATATTGAAAGTGTCTTAGTGTGGAAATGTTGAAGTGTGGTGGTGTTGAAGTGTGGTGATGTTGAAGTGTGGTGGTGTTGAAGTGTGGTGGTGTTGAAGTGTGGTGGTGTTGTTGAAGTGTGGTGGTGTTGAAGTGTGGTGGTGTTGAAGTGTGGTGGTGTTGAAGTGTGGTGGTGTTGAAGTGTGGTGGTGTTGAAGTGTGGTGGTGTTGAAGTGTGTTGGTGTTGAAGTGTGGTGGTGTTGAAGTGTGGTGGTGTTGAAGTGTGTTGGTGTTGAAGTGTGGTGGTGTTGAAGTGTGGTGGTGTTAAAGTGTGGTGGTATTGAACTGTGGTGAGTAAGGAGATTATTAACATTGCAGTGCTCCCTTATGGCTTTGGTTTAATCTAAATCTACCTTTTTAAAAACAGTTTGGGCCCCGGAAAAGAGGGGGGGGGGGAGAGATTTATGGAAAGAAAACAAGACTTTACATTCTTTAATGTATTCTCTAACAATTACTTGTCATATTTTATTGTCTATGTTGCAGAGCAACGTGCAAGGTGTATTTGGAAATTTAGTCTATAGCAAAGAAGAGTTAAGCTTTTCCTATAACATGACACTGCTGGTCAACGAGGTGATCTTTGAGCATGGGACGCTCAGGAGCAGGATTCAAGTGGCCAGCTGGACCCACGGCGGACCCGTTGTGACGTCAGCCGGATCGCTGATCAAATCTGGCAAGCGGATGAAATACAAAGTAGTGGTTGTATCAGGGGTAGGTCTCTAGTGGTTGTACCAGGGTTAGGTCTTTTGTTGTGTATAAGGGGTAGGTTATGTCTTTTATGATTGTGTCAAGGGTAAGTCTTTAGTGAATTTATGAGGGGTAGGTCTCAGAAATCGCTATCTGTTCCAAAGACAGTATCTGCTATTTGTTCCAAAGACAGTTTCTGCAATGTGTTCCAAAGACAGTATCTGCTAACTGTTCCAAAGACAATATCTACTATCTGTTCCAAAGACAGTACCTGTTATGTGTTCCAAAGAAGTATCTGCTGTCTGTTTTAAAGACAGTTTCTGCTATGTGCCATGGTAAAAAGGCTTGCAAATAGAAAAAAAATTCCCTCTTGTTTTAGACAGCTATTTCACTGTCTTTATTTAGATCTTGATCCACGTCGTTGTTGTTCCCCCCCCCCACACACACACAAATCCATATTAAAATATTTTATTATTCCATAAAGTTGCTTGGTGTGATTAATGTGAGAGTAAAGATCCTAAACTAACCAAATAAACATTGTGAATTGAATAGTTAATGTGATGGTTTCAGATTCCGCCCTTTGTGTACAAGAGTATGCCATCGAATGAGACCGGACGAGTTGTTTACAGCGGATACTGTATCGAACTGCTGGAGAAGATAGCGGCGAACATGGGATTCGATTACGATATCCACGATACCCATGTAGTCGGCTCTGTGAATGAGAATGGTCAGTGGTCAGGAGCCATTGGGGAGCTCGTGGATGGGGTGGGTAATAATCTTCAACTAACAACATGAACATTTTCTGAAGTTTTGTTCATTTGAATCAGTGGTTCTCAAGCACATTTCAGGCCACTTCTCTCTTGGGGGTCATACATTCTTTCTTAGAGCCTTTCTGTATAACCCCTTCACACGTTTCTCAAAATAATAGTTTCTGCAACCCTCTATGGATTATAGTGCTCAAATAATATCAAATATTAATCATGTGATTGTTTAAATTACTTTTATGAAATCAATAATGAAATGATTAATTGAAACTTTAAAAATTCTGAAAATAATTTGAAGATTTTAGATCCATAAAGCATTGGTTGTTTTTCAATGCTGGTTTAACGTCTAATAGCACTAACTGTTTTAACAATGAGTTTTTTTAATAATAAAAAAAAAAAGTAATAATATGAATGAGGACTGCGTTCAATTCTTGTGACGTAAATAAATTCTGGAACAGGGTAACAGGAGAAGCATCTTCGACAATCACAAAGATTATTTCTCGTTTTGTTTTTGTTTTGTGTGCTGAAGTAGACATTTAGCCGAAGTAAATATTCTTGTCTACTAAAGTAGACATTTAGCCAAAGTAAATATTCTTGTATACTGAAGTAGACATTTAGCCGAAGTAAATATTCTTGTATACTGAAGTAGACATTTAGCCGAAGTAAATATTCTTGTCTACTGAAGTAGACAGTTAGCCAAAGTAAATATTCTTGTCTACTGAAGTAGACATTTAGCCAAAGTAAATATTCTTGTCTACTAAAGTAGACATTTAGCCAAAGTAAATATTCTTGTCTACTGAAGTAGACAGTTAGCCAAAGTAAATATTCTTGTCTACTGAAGTAGACAGTTAGCCAAAGTAAATATTCTTGTCTACTGAAGTAGACATTTAGCCAAAGTAAATATTCTTGTCTACTGAAGTAGACAGTTAGCCAAAGTAAATATTCTTGTCTACTGAAGTAGACATTTAGCCAAAGTAAATATTCTTGTATACTGAAGTAGACATTTAGCCAAAGTAAATATTCTTGTCTACTGAAGTAGACATTTAGCCAAAGTAAATATTCTTGTCTACTGAAGTAGACAGTTAGCCGAAGTAAATATTCTTGTCTACTGAAGTAGACATTTAGCCAAAGTAAATATTCTTGTCTACTGAAGTAGACAGTTAGCCAAAGTAAATATTCTTGTCTACTGAAGTAGACATTTAGCCAAAGTAAATATTCTTGTCTACTGAAGTAGACATTTAGCCAAAGTAAATATTCTTGTATACTGAAGTAGACATTTAGCCAAAGTAAATATTCTTGTATACTGAAGTAGACATTTAGCCAAAGTAAATATTCTTGTCTATTGAAGTAGACAGTTAGCCAAAGTAAATATTCTTGTCTACTGAAGTAGACAGTTAGCCAAAGTAAATATTCTTGTATACTGAAGTAGACAGTTAGCCAAAGTAAATATTCTTGTATACTGAAGTAGACAGTTAGCCAAAGTAAATATTCTTGTATACTGAAGTAGACATTTAGCCAAAGAGACATTCTTGTCTACTGAAGTCAACAGTTAGCCGAAGTAGACATTCTCGCCTACAGACGTAGACATTTAGCTGAAACGTCGTGTTAATCCTTCTGTCTATTTTTCAAGCCGAGGCAAAGACTATCATTTATAAGGAATTTAAAAAAAAAAACATTCTTGAGAATTCAACAACGAACTTCTCAACCGAATTCCTGGGCTCCATTAGTCAAGTATTTCAGTTATATCCCCTGTAACATCAAATATTCCAGACGGCTGACCTGGCTGTTGGTCCCATCTCTGTAATGGCCGAGAGAGAGACAGTCATAGATTTCACCGTGCCGTTCTACGATCTGGTTGGACTGACCATACTCATGAAAAAACCAACGGTCGACTACTCACTGTTCAAGTTTCTGAGCGTCCTTGACCATGCTGTCTGGGGATGTATCATCGGCGCCTTTATCCTCTTCAGTGTCCTCATTTGTGTCTTTGATAGACTCAGCCCTTTCAGGTTAGTCAAGTGTCCTCATATGTGTCTTTGACTGACTCAGCCCTTTCAGGTTAGTCAAGGGGTTAAAATGTAGTGTCCTTTTTGAGACTTTGACTTGAGGGGCTGTTCCGCTCTGAGATTTGTTAAAATACATCAGGCCAGCACCACTCAAAATGTAAGGAAGGCCTTAATTCTTTCTGAAAAAACTTTTGCGGGTCAAAAGAAATTTAGGAAAGGAGGGGGGTTGGGTTTGAGCCTTTAAGAAAATAATAATAATAAAGAATAGTTCGTTACTTCACGGGCCGCAAAGTGGTTTGCTGGTGGGCAAAATGCGGCCCGCAGGCCTTATGTTGTACAGGCATGAAATACTTCATGATAAATTATATCAATACATCACGTGAATAAAATATCATGATAAATTTCATTACTAGACACAATTTCAATATAATTAAAAATTTTACCATTTTATCATTGCATGACGTCAATGATCTCATTTTGACATCTATTACACTCAAAGCAAAATAATCTTTGTTACTTGCTTATGTCATGTGTTTCAATAACACCTGCTTTTGTGTTGTGTTTCATTCACACCTGTCTGAACTGTCAGCTACCAGAACAGACGCTCACAGTGGAAGGAGCATGGGGAGGAGCCCAGGGTTTTCACATTGAAAGAAGGAATTTGGTTTTGTATGATGTCACTGACGCCTCAAGGTAAAGTAATTTGGTCTGGTCTGATGTCACTGACTCCACAATTTAAATTAATTATTTTTGATGTCACTGATTCCAAAAAAACGTAAAGGAAGTTGCTTTTTTAAAGGATTTCATTGATTCCAACAAGGAAAATATTTTTTTAATGCAGTTACTAAATCAAAAGTATGGATTTTAAATGTTGGGAGCATCACCAAAAATAACAAAATACACTTTTTTGGTATTAATTTTCTGTTAAGTTATTTAAGCTATTTGCAACTCATAAATATTTAAGCTTCTACGTATTCGAACTGAGCTGAATAGCTGATACTTCAGATACATCTCTGACACTTCAGATACGTCTTTGATACTTAAGATACGTCTCTGATTCTTCGGAAATGTCTTTGATACTCCAGATACGTCTTTGATACTTCAAAAAGATATTTGATACTTTAGATACGTCTTTGATACTCCAGATACGTCTTTGATACTTCAGATAGATCTTTGATACTTTAGATACGTCTTTGATACTTCAGATAGATCTTTGATACTTCAGACACGTCTTTAATACTTCAGTTATAACTAGATTTAAAATTGCACTCCCCAGGGGGCGGGGAGACCCCTAAGGCCCTGTCGGGCCGACTGATTGCGGCCACCTGGTGGCTCTTCGGCTTCATCATCATCGCTACGTACACGGCCAACCTGGCGGCCTTCCTCACAGTGTCCAGGCTGGAGACGCCCATAGCGTCGCTGGACGACCTGTCCAAACAGTTTAAGATCCAGTACGCTCCCCTCAACGACAGCACGGCGATGATCTACTTCAAACGCATGGCCGACATCGAGCAGAGATTCTACGAGTGAGATTTTCAAATAGTCATTCATCTCTCTACACATTGTTGGACTTGGGGAGATGGGGGAAGTGGGGATGGGGGCGAAAGGTGGGGGGGGGGGGGAATGACAACCTGATCATGCTCAGTGTCACTTTACTTGAAACATAACTATATATTTTTTTAAATAATTTTTTTGTAGTCACATTTAAAGTTGTCACACTTATAGTTGTCATATTTATAGCTGTCACATGTATAGATGTCACATTTAAAATTTTCACATTTATAGTTGACCCATTTATTCCCGCTTTGATTATAATAGAGATAATTGTGACAACTATGAAGGTGATAACGATAAATGTGACAACTCTAAATGTGAGACAACAAATAAGTTATTTTTATATTGAATTGAATACTCTTTTAATATAATAGATTTAAATGCATACTATTATTATAGATTTAAATGCATACTATTATTATAGATTTAAATGCATTCCAAACAGAACAATCAAAATAAATTTGTTTATCCTTTAATATCATTATTGAATATTTTGTCCTCATAAATAAGAAATACCATCTAAATTGCTTTCTGACATATCTATTTATTTTAGCTTTTTTTTTTGGGGGGGGGGAGGGGGGTCTGGGGGGGATTTTGTAAATGATCTACTAAAAATAAAGGTTTCATAAATTAAACAATTTCTCCAACTTACTGCTAAAACTAAATATTGCACACAAAAAAAAGGTCTGGGGGGGATTTTGTAAATGATCTACTAAAAATAAAGGTTTCATAAATTAAACAATTTCTCCAACTTACTGCTAAAACTAAATATTGCACACAAAAAAAAGCTATATGCCAGAGCTTTGAGCAAAATGTCGGTATTTTTAGTGTATGACACTTGGCACTATGACATGACATTTACATGTTTTACATTCAGAATTTGGAAGAACATGAGTCTCAATGACGACCTCGCCCCTATCGAGAGAGCCCAACTAGCCGTATGGGACTACCCTGTCAGTGACAAGTACACGAGACTCTGGGAGACCATGAAAAAATCAGGCTTCCCCGAAAGCGAAGAAGCAGGCGCCAAGCGGATTCTGGAGGGAAACTTTGCCTTTATAGGTGAAGTGTTGTTGTTTGCCTTTATAGGTGAAGTGTTGTTGTTTGCCTTTATAGGTGAAGTGTTGTTGTTTGCCTTTATAGGTGAAGTGTTGTTGTTTGCCTTTATAGATGAAGTGTTGTTGTTTGCCTTTATAGGTGAAGTGTTGTTGTTTGCCTTTATAGGTGAAGTGTTGTTTTAACACGTGATGTTTAAGTAATCTTGCTTACTGTTAGAGTCTCAGACTACCTTTGGGTACTTTATGTGTGTTTCTATAAGACTTCTGAAGACATGTGTGTTTCTATAAGACTACTGAAGTCATGTATGTTTCTATATGAGTACTGAGGTCATTTGTGTGTCTTTAAGACTACTGAAGTCATGTGTGATTCTATAAGACCTCTGGAGCCATGTGTATTTCTATAAGACTACTGAAGACATGTGTGTTTCTATAAGGCTATTGAAGACGTGGTTGTGTATTTTATATGTCAAGCTCTATTCGTGTAGCTTCAGGCACTGCTTGACCCAGTTTCATGGTTGTCTATGTTCTTTGTCAAAGTATGTTCAAGAAGCCAGTAGCATATCTTGACCAATAGTCACACCGTGTGTCCCATTACCCTGCCTACACACAGTACAAAACTAAAAACACTTAGATCGCTGACCGATGGGGAAGACAGCTTTGCTTAAATATACGGGCAACAAATATGGACATAAACATTATACAACTTAAACACATATGTATAACCAACTAGTATGACAAAGTACAAGATATGATCAAAGTCTCTCCACAAAATAATGTGGATAGACTTATCAATGGTCGGACTTTAATCTCAAGGGTTGGCATCAAGAGTTTAAGTTAAGGCTCGGCACCCGTTGGCGTAACTAAGGGAGGGAAAATCGTGTGACCGCTGTTAATTACCAAGATTGTACAGTAACTGGGTGTGTGTGCGTGGAGGGGCAATTTTGGAAGTTCGCCTCCGGTGCCAATTACTCAAGGTACGCTATTGGGTATCACGCCAGATTTGAAAAGCTACATTATGTGTTTTTGCTATTTTATCCATACTTTCATCCTACAAAGAATATCTATAAATTCATACGTAAAGACAATCCATAATTTCATATATAAAGACTATTCATATCCATACTTTCATATGCAGAATATATCCATATCCATACTTTCATATACAAAGACTATACATACATTCATAAAAAGAATGTCCATATTTTTATGTGCAAAGTCTATCCATACTATCATATACAAATATAATCTATGCTTTCATATTTTTCGCTTGATGCTCTAAGACATATGAGAATAAAGATGATTGTAAGGCCCAGACTATTTGCACTGTCTTCTTTCGAACCCTTACTCAAACAAACGTTTTACTCTCGTGCTGAGATGTAAAACGAGACAGGAAGACATTAGGAATCAGCAAATACGACAAATGGTCTCGGTTGCATCCCCATCAGCCAATTTATGGCCCAAATACGACAAATGGTCTCGGTTGCATCCCCATCAGCCAATGTATGGCCCAAATACGACAAATGGTCTCGGTTGCATCCCCATCAGCCAATATATGGCCCAAATACGACAAATGGTCTCGGTTGCATCCCCATCAGCCAATGTATGGCCCAAATACGACAAATGGTCTCGGTTGCATCCCCATCAGCCAATGTATGGCCCAAATACGACAAATGGTCTCGGTTGCATCCCCATCAGCCAATGTATGGCCCAAATACGACAAATGGTCTCGGTTGCATCCCCATCAGCCAATGTATGGCCCAAATACGACAAATGGTCTCGGTTGCATCCCCCTCAGCCAATATATGGCCCAAATGCGAACGCATTGATTTGTCCATCTGGTCAGCATACCTGGCACTCAACCCGCAGGCTTACAATATCAGACAGTGCAGGTTCAGGGCAAGGGGAGGACAAGCTGTCGGTGGATCGACTGTGCTGACCACAACATGAACCTTCAAGGGGCCTCACACCTGGCAGATAATGGCAGATAACTGTACCCCCAAGCAACGCATCCCTGGTGGAACAACAAGAAGAAGATCTACGTCCTAAAAATATATTTCTTCGATTTGTCCCAAATCGTTCAACTGCTTAGTAATGTTGAAATGCACTCAGAAGTTTATTTACTGTGAGTTCCAACATCATAATTTTATCTTCTGGTAGGAAGAGATGGGATTCGTTGGCTGCGGGCTGAACGGTGGGCTTCGGCCTCAAAGTCCACTTAACATTAGATAAAACTTCCTGTTGCAGATCGCAACTACCTCCCCTGGCTGCACCCCTTGCAGTTAAGTGAACTAAGTCTCGGTACTTTCAAATCTTCTACAGCTGATTCAACAAGCAACAAATATCATATGCTGACCAACTGTGACTTACAAGAAGTTGGTGAAGAGTTCTCCCGAAAGCCCTATGCGTTAGCTGTGCCAGAGGGGTCTCCCCTGCGCAACGAGCTGTCCAACACGTAAGTGTAAAGGCGGATTGCATTATTTTTCTATTTTAGCCTGACATCAATTACAAATAGGCACAAGCCGTTACAAGGTGTCGTGTGCCTTATTACATGGACAGGAAATACCATTTATAGCTAGGAATGCACCTGTACAAAGGTGTCATGTGCTTCATTACATTGACAGTAAATACCATTACAACTAGGAATGCACCTTTTCATTCACAGGATTACACCTTTATATCGAAGATGAAATGTGTAGTTAATCTGAAGCAAGTTATCATAGTTTGAAAATCAAAACCAACATTTCAATCAAATGAATGTTGGGAATTAACACTTTATTTTTTTATTATTTCCGTCACATAAAATCACACATTATTAAATAGTTGTAATAAATAGTTGTAATAAATAGTTGTAATAAATAGTTGTAATAAATAGTTGTAATAAATAGTTGTAATAAATAGTTGTAATAAATAGTTGTAATAAATAGTTGTAATAAATAGTTGTAATAAATTGTAATAAATAGTTGTAATAAATAGTTGTAATAAATAGTTGTAATAAATAGTTGTAATAAATAGTTGTAATAAATAGTTGTAATAAATAGTTGTAATAAATAGTTGTAATAAATAGTTGTAATAAATTGTTGTAATAAATAGTTGTAATAAATAGTTGTAATAAATAGTTGTAATAAATAGTTGTAATAAATAGTTGTAATAAATAGTTGTAATAAATAGTTGTAATAAATAGTTGTAATAAATAGTTGTAATAAATGGTTGTAATAAATAGTTGATACCATTTGTAAACAACTCGTGTCGTCTTAACATATTTATGCCGGTCATATACGATTTACAAAAATAACCAATGTTGAAAATCCATTAAAATGGATCGCCCTTTCTACAAGAGTGTGGAGGTTTTTTTTTCTTTCTGACTTGGAAAATTTTGAAAATATCTAGAGATAAAGCTTTGCTTTTGGTTGCTATTTTCCGTTCAGCGTGTCACTTTAGTTTAGCAATGCTAATTTATTGTAAACCTTTCTTTGGAATGAATTTTTTAAAAATCTTTGAACCATTTTTTTTTTTTGTTGTAAATTAATTTATTTTTAAATAGTTTATATCAAAAACTGTTTAAAAAATTACAATTTAGTACTGTATGTGTGTACAACCCACCTGGTCAGGCAGGGACGTCGCTTGACTTTTTGTGGCCCCATTGATACTTTTTCGATTGTGTCCTTTCTTACCTAGCGTAAAATGATGCTAATTAAAAGTATTGACAGCGCTTAAAACAAGCGAGGCCCCAGGCAGCTGTAAAGGTTTCAGAGCCCACACGATGGCTATGAGGTCAAGGGTTAGGGTTAGGGTTAGGGTTAGGGTTAGGGTTAGTACCTGAGGTCTTAACTAGCAAATCTCCTTTCGCTCTCCGCTTAAGAGTGTAGTGATGCAGAACGAAATTTACGATGTAAAAAAAATTCATGATTGTATTTAAAAAAAAAAATTTATATTCCGGAGACTCTAAAGATTAAAGGGGCGAGACTATAGACACAAAACATACCTTTAAGGGCCCCCAACTTGATTGAATTGCGTTAATGTTTGGCTGGTGGAAGAGTTAAAGAGGTCGTTGCTATTATGGTTAACTGGGGACCATAAGGCCTTCCCACAACACTTGGAAATTTATTTCCTCTAATCAAATATTCTTATCAAAACATGCAAATCGTACACACTCCAACATGTTAGGTCTTTGGTTCTCGTCCAACATGTTAGGACCTTGGAACTCCTCCAACATATTAGGTCCTTGGGACTCCTCCAACATGTCAGGTCCTTGGGACTCCTCCAACATGTTAGGTCCTTGGGACTCCTCCAACATGTTAGGTCCTTGGGACTCCTCAAACATGTTAGGTCCTTGGGACTCCTCAAACATGTTAGGTCCTTGGGACTCCTCCAACATATAAGAACCTTGGGACTCGTCCAACATGTTAGGTCCTTCGGATTCCTCCAACAGGTTAGGTCCATGGACTCCTCCAACACCGCATGACACAACCTCATACTCTTTTAACATAGTTGTATTTCACTTGTGAGATTACCTTGATTTATTCCCCACCTAGAATTTTGAAACTCATCAACAACCGGACCTTGGAGGAGTTGAAAACGAAATGGTGGAACATGGACTCCAAGAGCTGTCCCGCTGTGGATGATGAGAGCGACGGCATCAGCATCAGAAACATTGGAGGCGTGTTTCTCGTCATTGTCATTGGCTCTGGCTTATCGCTCATAACACTGGTCCTGGAATGTTATTGGTACAGGTATGTTGTGCCCTGGTGTTTTATTGGTAGAGGTAGGTGGTGCCTTGAGGTTTTATTGGTAGAAGTCGGTGGTGCCCTTTGGTTTTATAGGTAGAGGTTAGTGATGCCCAGTGGTTTTATTGGTAGAGGTAGGTGGTGCCCTGATGTTTTATTGGTAGAAGTCGGTGGTGCCCTTTGGTTTTATAGGTAGACGTTACTGATGCCCAGTGGTTTTATTGGTAGAGGTAGGTGGTGCCCTGAGGTTTTATTGGTAGAGGTAGGTGGTGCCCTGGGGTTTTATTTGGGCAGTTAGATCGTGTTCAAGAGGGCTAGTAGATAGAATGGCTAGATTTTTAAAAAAAAATTCTTTTGGTTGGGGGGGGGGGGATCACGGGGCTTTTGATTACGGTTACGCCCTTTTTAAATCACATCCTCATGTCATTAAAGGGACACAAAATAAAGATAAGGAAAAAACCAAATATGGGGTTTTATTTGGGCAGTTAGATCGTGTTCAAGAGGGCTAGTAGATAGAATGGCTAGATTTTTAAAAAAAAATTCTTTTGGTTGGGGGGGGGGGATCACAGGGCTTATGATTACGGTTACGCCCTTTGTAAATCACATCATCATGTCATTAAAGGGACACAAAATAAAGATAAGTAAAAAACCAAATCATCCCACGCAAGAAAAGAAATAAAAGATGGGTGACATGATGTCCCGAGACTTTTAGCATGCGTCAGTCTTGTCACTGTCATATGACATTTGGCACACTGTAGGATACAGTCTGTATTATCTGCAACAAAAGGGGGTGATAGAGAGAGAGAGGCAGACGGAAGGAGAGAGAGAGACATACAGACAGACAGAGATATACAGATAGACAGAGAGATAGGGGGGAGAAAGAGACAAGGAGAGAAATAGAAATAGAGAAAGAGAAAGAGACACAGACAGAGAGAGACATTGAGAGACACAGAAAGAGAGAAAGAGAGAGAGAGAGTGACGATATATAAAAATCAAAATCGAAATATTAAAATAAAAAGAGACCGGTAAGAGAGAGAGAGAGAGAAAAAAAGAAATGTAATTGTTGACAAAATAGATATTATTTTTTAAAATTTTGAAACAGAAATTAGACTCTGAAGATAACTCTGAAATAAATGTTTATGGTTCAGATTGACCCAACTCATTGGGTTTGAACTATCATACAACCCACTTCAATGATTATCAACATCACTCATTATCAAGATCACTCATTAACAACATCTCTTAATGTCGACATCAATTAATATCAACATCCCTTATTGTCACCCTCACTTATTATCAGCATAACGTATGATCAACATCAATATTTCTCCACATGACTTATGATAAACATCACTGATTATCAACATCACTGATTATCAACATGACTTATTATCAACATCTCTGATTATCAACATGACTTATTATCAACATCTCTGATTATCAACATGACTTATTATCAACATCTCTGATTATCAACATGACTTATTATCAACATCTCTGATTATCAACATGACTTATTATCAACATGACTTATTATCAACATGACTTATTATCAACATCTCTGATTATCAACATGACTTATTATCAACATCTCTGATTATCAACATGACTTATTATCAACATGACTTATTATCAACATGACTTATTATCAACATCTCTGATTATCAACATGACTTATTATCAACATCTCTGATTATCAACATGACTTATTATCAACATCTCTGATTATCAACATGACTTATTATCAACATGACTTATTATCAACATGACTTATTATCAACATCTCTGATTATCAACATGACTTATTATCAACATCTCTGATTATCAACATGACTTATTATCAACACTTGAAATGTCTCTACCAGAATCCGCCCAGAGCGTCTTAGGAAGAAGACCAAAGACCACGAACTTTCTCTGGCCAGTTCTTCGGCGTCGACCCTGAGCAGTCCAGGGGACAAGGAGCAGATGGATCGAATGAGACGGAAGTGTTCAGAACAACACGGGGGTGGTGAGAGGGAGACAGGCCTGGACTGTGGTTTCACCAACTTGGGTTTCGAGTTCTCGGAGGGTTTGCAACCACCCGATGGCTGTGACAGTCTGGATGGTAGCCATGACAGGCGAGATGATGGCCGTGGGAGGCAAGATGGTAGCCATGGGAGGCGAGATGGTAGCCACGGGAGGCGAGATGGCAGTATTGGGAGGCGAGATGGAAGCTTTGACTGCCAAGATGGTAGCTATGAAAAGAAGCCTACGGAATACACTGTCAGATTTTAAGAAATTTTCAAACCTAGTAAAAAAAACAACTATTATATCATTTAGAGGCGAAATTGTGTTGTTTTTTTGTGTTTTTTTTTTTAACTGCGAATTAAAACTACGTCATTAGATATTTTATTCACTGTGCAGATTTAAATTATCGCTTTAATAAATACACACACACACATTAATTAAAATAATTGTAACAAAATAAAAATTAATACGCACTTTATTTCGAGTTCCTCCTCCTAAAAATGCCAACCAATGAATGAAAAGATTCACTCAATCTATTTTTAAATCCTTTATATTAACCTCGGTTTTTTGTGTGTCTAGGGCAAAAATCTTCGAACGGCTAACTGACCCACTTTCCGTCAACCTATTGATCTGAATGTTGGTATACAGACTCGAGGCCGATGACAAACCATTCTATAACATTTTACGACCCCCACAACCCAGCCCAAACTACACAAAGTCGAATGAATTATGATGCCACTGATTTCAAGAAATAAAATTCCGGATAACTGTGCTAATGCTCAGTTCACACGATTAAATTTGCCTTCAACAATAAATTTGACCATACTTTGATCGTGTGAACTGAGCATTAACAAGACTCTTTAAAAACAAAATATTGTAAGTGCGTTTGGTGTATAATATTTTCTCTTGCCTTTCAGAAACAGTTGGTGCACTAAATATGCTCGGTAAAATCGGGTGGGACAATAGAATATTTATATTTAAAAAATCATAGAAACTGCATATAACGGATTCATTTCAAAATCTTTGTTTCTTAAGCGTTGTTTAATTGAAGTTAAATCTTCAGAAGATAAATGATGAAGTTTATTGAAATATTTTCTTGACACAAGTCTATATTTACACAGCAAGTTAAGGAGTTCATTTTGTGATCTACACAGTGAGTTAAGAGGTCATGTTGTGATCTACACAGTGAGTTAAGAGGTCATGTTGTGATCAACACAGCAAGGTTAGGAGGTCATGTTGTGATCAACACAGTGACGTTAAGAGGTCATGGTGTGATCAACACAGCGAAGTTAAGAGGTCATGTTGTGATCAAAACAATGAGGTTAAGAGGTTATGTTGTGATCAACACAGTTAGGTTAAGAGGTCATGGTGTGATCAACACAGCGAAGTTAAGAGGTCATGGTGTGATCAACACAGTGAGGCTAAGAGGTCATGTTGTGATCAACATAGCGAAGATAAGAGGTCATGGTGTGATCAACACAGTGAGGCTAAGAGGTCATGTTGTGATCAACATAGCGAAGATAAGAGGTCATGGTGTGATCAACACGATAGAGTTAAGAGGTCATGTTGTGATCAACATAGCGAGGTTAAATGGTCATGCTGTGATCAACACAGCGAGGTTAAGAGTTCATGTTGTGATCAACACAGCGAGGTTAAGAGTTCATGTTGTGATCAACACAGCGAGGTTAAGAGTTCATGTTGTGATCAACACAGCGAGGTTAAGAGTTCATGTTGTGATCAACACAGCGAGGTTAAGAGTTCATGTTGTGATCAAAACAGCGAGGTTAATGATGAAGCCATAAATCAACTCAAAAAGGTGCCATTTAATCAAGACCTGGAATACCCTAGCTACCCTAAATGGGATGCTTGGAAGACCCTAGCTACCCTAAATGAGATGCTACATTCCTTCTCTCAAGCGACAAAACACCAGGTGATGACTCAATCCCATTTGAAGTATACCGAAGGGACACACCTCTAACTGAAAGGCTTCACCAGCTGTTATGGAGACCATTCCACGGGACTTCAAAGATGCATCTATTGTTCACCTGTACAAGCGTAAAAATGAACCGCCAATCGTACGACAACCACCGTGGCGTATCACTGCTCTCAAATGCAGACATTATCAGGCATTCTTCTTCTTATATTTGAGGGGCCCACGATCAATGTGTTTATCATTGCGGCTCCTGGTTTAAATTCAGAGTTGCCTTCTCTTAGACGGGTTGCCGTCCAAGGCTAACGAGTCCCATCCACCCGGGTTGCTTGGGATGGCTTTGGTGGGGATTGAACTCCAGACCACCAGCTATTTCGTTTTGAGACAGTTTAGACCGCTCGGCCACCCAGCTACATAATCTTGCTAAACCATATTAATAGGCATCTTAAGAAGGGTCTACTGCCAGAAAGTCAACGTGGATCCCGGAAGAAACAAGGAACCGTCGATGTTTGCGGCCATACAGCTACAGGAAATTGCAGGGAACAAAATGTTTACCTCTTCTCTACCTTTGTAGATCTGACCAAAGTTTACAACACTGTCAGTAAAAAGAGCTTTTTGAAGATCATGACCAAATATGGATCCCCCAGGAAGTTCGTTTCAATGGCACGACTATTCCATGCTGGTGTGCAGGCTAGAGCTCGGGATAATGGAGAGACATCCAAAACATTCCCTGTAAAAAATGGCTTGAAACAAGGCCGTGTAATTGTCCCAATGCTTTTCAGCCTCATGTTTTCTGCTATGCTGACCGATGCCTTCAGAGAGGGGGACTCTGCAAATGGCCTCAGATACCAAACTAACGGTCATCAATTCAACCTCAAAAGGCTACATGTGAAAATGAAGGTCCTGTCAGACACCATTAGGGACCTCCTGTATGCAGACAAATGTGCCATAAATGATGTAGCAGAAGTGGATATGCAACGCAGCGTCACAAACTTTTCAAATGTCTGCACAAACTTCGGGCTCACAATTTCTTTATGTTGAGCTCAACATCCAAGTATATTGCTAAAGGCTTAAGGAAGTGAATAGCTTTACTTATCTTGGGCAGGACACTGTCCCTGAGTGCAACTATCAATGACGATTTCAACCTCCGTATTGCAAGAGTCGGTGCAACCTATGGCAGACTGTCTAAGAACCAAAAGCAAAAAAAAAAAAAAATCTAAGTGATGAAGCACAAGAGTAAGCCAAACTTAAAGGAAGAAGGTCAAGGTAGGAATACAGAGCTTAAGTGATGAAGCACAAGAGTAAGCCAAACTTAAAGGAAGAAGGTCAAGGTAGGAATACAGAGCTGAGATAAAACGAAACGATGAAATCACTCATCAACCACGTCACGCATTTAGAAGTATGTGTGGCCCCGGGGGGGGGGGGGCTTGCTGGGGGGGGAGTTTGGAGGGAGAAAAAATTCTGCAGAGATATCATGCAAGCATTAAAGGGGTGGCTCTCGTGTGTGGTCCACATGCATGAAGTAGTTTGCTAATTTTGTTTGACTAAGATGGTGGCGCCTTCCTTTTTTTTTTACATTTCCGGCGCCCTAGGCAGATTTATCTGTTCGCTAGGCGCATTCAATCCAATTCTAACAATTTTATGCAATATAGGGTTGTCCCCTTTCGCACGTTCCTAACAAAGTGGCAAAGTGGCACCCCAGGGTGAGGTGTCGGCACCCCACAGTGATGTGTCGGATATCTTTGTACCCAGGCGGCTCGATATCTTTGTACCCAGGCGGCTCGCCGACAGCTGTGGAACGCGTCATTCATTTGTATACTATCAAGTCGTAGCACGTGACGTCACGTCATGTCACGTCATGGCAGTGGGGTAGCTAGTGGGGTGCGGGGGGGGGGCAGACCCACCGGGTGACACCATCTTAGTGGTGACATAAATTAAAAATTGTACATTTACAGGGCATACTGTGCGGTACAACAAAATTTCATCAAAGGATTACCGATCGCACGTCAATTTTTCCACACATGTAGCCAATACAAATGCGGGCTTTGACTTTGTTGAAAGTTCAAGGCTTTTACGTCAGAAATAAGGTGACCCCTATAATTAGCTCAATAAAAACACCGTTTTGACGATTATTTAAAGCTAATTGAAGTGTTCTGTAACTTTCCTAAGTGACAGGAAGCTATGTTCATCTAAATTCTGTGAAATGAAGCTTTCAGTTGATTTTAGCTACGCAGCTTCGAGAAATATGCTCCTAGGCAAACGTTTCGTCCCAGATTTCCGTCCCGGCCGAAAGATTCATTAGGTGGTGGGACGTGGTAAGCCACACCTTTTCCTTGGACACGAAGCAAACCCTTCCAAACCGTCTGGGAGAGTCGGCTGCGAACGCGTTAAACGCAGTGTTTTCTGTTGACCAGACGTCCCCGGGGGTAGGTTCCCGGCATGCCGCCGCACTGTCTGGCGGTGGGGAAACCCGGCGTCTGGCGGTCTGTCGATGCATCGAGTGGCATTAAGAGCTCGCGCACGACGGCGAACTGTCAGCACTTCCCAATGTGACGAATTGATACCAAATACGATGTAGTCGGGCGATTCCAAAACATGAATAGAATCCGTAAAAATTTTAAACATAAAAAATGACTTTTTACTCGTTTATTGGGTTCACAAATAATATTTTACAAAATTTTCTCATATCTTTTAAAATACTTTCAATTTATTTTTGAAATTCAAAAAGAGTTTTAAAACAAAACATATCAAAACCTAGAAATACTCAAAAATAAATATGTTGACCGACTCGTCAGAAAAATTGCACTTTAACATTTTTAGCACGGTTGTCATACAGCACGAGATCTTCTACATGCTGTCTGTGGAGTCACGTTTTTCTGCCACCTTTACCTTTCGGCTAATCTACTTGAGGAATTTAATTTATCAAAGCAGTATCTGCAGGCTAAAGGCTTTCCTCTTGACAAAATGGTGACCAAACTAGGGGCCTTAAAATTGTTTCTGCACGAGAAGTGCTGTCACTTGGTGGAACATGCTATTGAAAATACACTTTAAAAATTAGACCAACATGGAATTTCGGTAGAGAGAAGATTGGTGTTGAAGAAGAGAATGGCAGGATCATATGTAATAGTTGCTAGACTCTCTTTGAGAAGAAAATAGTGTGGAGAATCTGGATTGTATCTTTGTTTCTGAACTCCAGATCAGAACATCAGGGAACAAGAAAGTAGCAGATAAGTTTGGGGCTGTTCAACCCAAGATCCTGCTATCAGCAATTGAAGAAGAATAATGGTGTCCGTTCCTATAAACCTCTTCCTATGATGGGTTATCAGAAGATGAACATTTAAGAGAAATTCCAAGGCTGAGAAGGCATGTAAAGGCATCT